CTTGCCCTACAATGAAATAAAGAAAAAACTAAAATATGACAAAGGGTTCCCAAGATATGGTTTGTTTTCCATCGCGTATTTTGAAAATTGCTAGAAAAGGCGTAACTTTGGCGGCCATTTTGAGGCAGTTACGATCAAATTTCGCAGGAGTTCAGAGGTGCATTTTGAAAATGTGCACTCTTGTCCTATCATAAAATAAAGAAAAATCTAAAATATCACGAAAGGTTCCCAAGATATAGCCTGTTTTCCACCATGTGATTTAAAAAACGCGAAAAAGGGCAAATTTTGTCGTTTCCTTCGTTTTCTATATTACCCGCAATTAAAATAAACAAGGTACCCTTAATTCGCGAGCTGTTGCAACACGCAGGTCACAAAACATTTGACCAAATAATATAACTTAATAAAAACTTACCAATGCAGTGCTCATTAGATTGCTAGGGCACAGCAAGTACTGCAATTAAAAGAAAACATAAGTTAAAATAAAAACATTGCATACAATATAATATTATATTCATACATCGGAGAAAACAAACATGCGCTGAGTAGCGCAAGTCATATTACGTTGTCAAATATCTCCCTTCCGCTTTTTTGCTCTTTATTCAATGCTTTATAAAAAGTGTTACAGTGATCGGATTTAGTTCAAATATGCGCCGTTTTGTTCGATAATCTGTTTCCATCTAGACGGCAACTTCATAATACCTCTCTCGTAGAAGCCCCCCTCCTTATTTGCGAAGAACTCGGACAGCCACTTTTCACAAGCCTCTTTTGAGTTCAACTTTACACAATCAAGGGCATTCGCCATGGACAGGAACAGGTGGTAATCACTTGGCGCTATGTCCGGGCTATATGGTGGATGCAATAAAACCTCCCATTCGAGCTCCCGTAGCTTCTGACGAGTCATCAACGAAGTGTGTGGTCTGGCGTTGTCCTGGTGGAACACTACACCCTTCCTGTTGGCCAATTCTGGACGCTTCTGGTCGATTGCCTGCTTCAAGCGGTCCAGTTGTTCGCAGTAGATGGTAGAATTAAGCGTCTGGCCATATGGGAGCAGCTCATAGTGGATGATTCCCTTCCAATCCCACCAAACACACAGCAAAACCTTCCTGGCCGTCAATCCCGGCTTGGTCACTGTTTGGGACGATTCACCGGCCTTCAACCACGACCGTTTTCGCTTGATATTGTCGTATGTGATCCATTTTTCGTCGCCAGTCACCATCCGCTTCAAGAATGGGTCGAGTTCGTTCCGTTTCAGCAGCATATCGCAGGCGTTGATTCGGTCCAGAAGGTTTTTTTGCGTCAAATCATGCGGCACCCAAACATCAAGCTTTTTTTTGTATCCAGCCGTCTGCAGATGGTTTAAAATGGTTTGGTGACTAACTTCCATCTCCTGGGCGATGTCACGAGATGCCACATGCCGGTCTAACTCGATGTATTCCATGATTTTATCGGTATTTGTCGTCACAGGTCTTCCGCCGGCTGGCTTATCCATGGTGTCGTTTTCACCGGCTCTGAATCGTCGAAACCATTCCTCCGTGGTTCGAAGTGAGAGAGCACCATCCCCCAAAACACCATTAATCTCACGGAACGTTTCTCTAGCGGATTTGCCTTTAACGAAGGAAAACTTTAAAATAGCGCGAATTTCGGCGTTAGTGAACTCCATGTTTACACGTCTATAACTGTTGCACGCAATATCCAAACTAATCATGCATAGCGTCCTTTTGTAGGCCATGTCTAGACCTTTCAAATCATGTATAGACTTGCCAGATACGAGCTCTGTAGCGCTTTGTACATCGCCCCGAAATTCAAAAGACAAAAAGGCGGAAGGGAGATATTTGACAATACCGCCGTGCTACCATTAACCGTACTATTATTTTGTTTATTGCTATTTTAATACTATTTTGTGCCATCCCGTGTTACCCCCTAGAATCTCCGTTTTACCCCTGCGGTGGTAATTACCCCCAGGTTAGGAACCACTGGATAAAACGATACGAATCACGCGAAATACGTCTAGACACGCCAGCGACCGGCACGAAACTGGCTACAATCCATCGATAGCGCAAGCAACGATGCGACAGTCCCCAAGAAGACAATGTGCCTGCAGCATGAACCCCGCAGATAAAAGCAATAGATGCGCGAAGCGGCCCGCCGATGACACACGGGCATTCGATAACAAAGTGTAAATTGTGTTCAAAACAAACACAATTCTCGAATCAAATGCCAACGTTTGCTGATAAATATAGAAATAAAGAATACAATTCTATTTTATGATTTTTATTTCAGGCAAGTGCCATCTCTGAATGTTACAGATAGTAGTCCTGCAATTAAAATTATTAAAACTAATCAAAAATGAAAATTCGAGTTGTGTAATTCTAATTTCTCAGGGTGAAAAATTTTCGGGGGATAAAACGGCAAAAAAACTCAATTCTTTCAATTGCGAATATCCCGCAAACTAAACGCGGTAGAAAGGAACGAATTGAAAAATATTAATCTACGAGAAATTCTCTATAAGACAAAGTATTAAAATATTGCAAGATGTGCTGCAGCAAAGCAAACAAGGTCGCAACAATTCATGATAAGAATACCTGCGCGATTTGCAATAGACACGATACCTGCGATCTAAACTAAACTAGAATATGCTGCATGCAGCAAATTGAAGACGGCGCACGGGCCACATGCGATAAAAAGTGGTTTGTATCGAATCGCTGATAACAGCACTGTATACAAAATTATTCTCGTGGCCACGTTTGTCGATAAATATAAAAATAAGTCGTATAACTCGATTTTATGATTTTTGTACATCCTAGTGCCATCTATGAATGTTACAGATAGTAGTCCCGGAATTTGGATTAATAAAATTAATCTATAATATAAAAATGAATCACAAAATCTGTTGGTAACCGCATAACTCAACAACGCCTAGACCAATTTGGCCAATTCTTTTTTTTTAATGTTCGTTAAAGTCTAAGTCTAATATAATTAGTTCTTGAAAGGGTGCCAAAGTTCGTGGAAACGAAGATACTCACCGGGGGACGGTTCTGTTCAGGAGAATTTTTTGCGCCAACTATACAATAGGTAGGACCAAAAAAAAATGCCACATTCCAAATCTCTTGGACCGAACGAATTCTGTTGGGTCCGCTATTAAAACAATAAAATTCAAATCATGAAATTATTATTTCTTATGTTTTAAGATTCACCGATTTTCCATCAAATATTTAAGTGATATTTAATTTGAACATTTATTGCTATACTATTTAGGTTTATATTTTATCAATGAACAATTCCAACTGAATTCTAAAGACAATTTATACTAAAATAAAAGGCTCGTAAAAACGTTTTGTTGCAATTTCAGTAGAAAAAATTATAAATTTCAACTGAAAGTTTTCTGCTGAAAAATATATCATTTGACCAAATTACGAGTAAACTATGAGTCCAACAGTAAAATTTTACTAAAATAAAATGATCAGGAGAACGGCTTCTAGGAACATCCAAAATAAAAACTTAAAATTATCAAATTTTATTTTTCTGTGGAAAATGTGAGTTCACATTTGATCAAATTGAGGGAAAACTATGAGTTCAAGAGTAAACTTTTATTAAATTAAAATACTCAGGAGGACTTTCTATAGCAACATCCGAAATAAAAACTTTAAATTTACACATTTAAATTTGCTGAGGAAAATGTGACCTCCCATTTGATCAAAGTACAGGAGAGCTATGAGTACAAAAGTAAAATTTTATTAAAATAAAATGCTCAGGGAGACCATCTATAATAACAACTTCCGAAATAAAAACTTCAAATTTAATTTTTCTCCAGAAAATGTAAGTTCACATTTAGTCAAATTACGGAAAAGCTATGAGTCCTAGAGTAAAATTTTACTATGATAAAGTGCTTGACCGAAATTTCCGTAAAAGGAAGTTTAAGATATTCATTCTCTAATTGCAGGAAAACTGTAAAATCGAAAAATAAATACTAAGAACGATGAAAAATTTCACTCACGAGTGTATCGAACACCGTAAATCAAATGCGAGTAGATACTGAAATAAACAAGAAACAAAACATTAGTTGTACAATTTCGGACAATGTTGAAATTAATCCGAATTCCGGAGGAACCCAAAAATTGCCTTAAAAATTGTCTTATTTGCCATAATTATTTAAATAATAATATTTACCAGGTAGAACAGCCGCCCATCGTGTTCTGCAGAAGACAAAAATGATTCGCACAACTCCAAAATATTATTTACAAACACTCAACATGGCGTCCGACGGCAAGCGATCCTAGATACACGCGAAACTGTAATAAACACACAAAACATTGAATCCCGAAAATTACACACGTGATAAATATTTAGCGACTAAAGCCCGTCTATTAACAGTAAATTCCGGCAAATATAACGCGATGTAACGAATTTACGACACGAAGCACAAATATCCATTTAAGTATTAGTACTTATCGCACGAAGTATGAGGTGCGTGCCGGCTACACAACAACTGGGCACGCCGACTTTTACTCGCAGGAACATTTTTAGCGAAAACATGCATTATTACGACATCTAAGGTTACTTTTGAGTACCTCAAGAAAATACAAAGTGTATGAAAGAATGCCGTTTCCTAACGCAAAACCGCAATTAAGAAAGTTTGCCTGTTGATGATTATATATCACTCAATTCATACGAATTACATACATTACGCCGCCGTCCGCCTCGGTTATGCCTGCCCCAAGTCAGACATTCAAATTATACCTGGAGGTATGTGCGTTTTCGCACCAACGTAAAATTCAAAATAAATTATGTATATAAAAATTATTAAAGTACGTAAACAACAAGCGTAGCTTCGACTATACCTAAAAAGTGACTGAGGAAGTTATTGAGACAGCAGCAGATGATCGCGTCCTGCAATCCCCTGATATATGTTAGGTATATAGAGGTTCCTATATAACAGCAGTACAGAAATGGTTCCTTGCAGCTCCGGGAAATGTCATCTACAGTGTAAATAAAACACATAATTAAAATTTATTAATGTAATATAAGAAACAGCAATTAAAAATAATAAAAAGCAATTTACATAAACACATTATAAATGTTAAATTATACAGGGCATATAATGGGGTTGTTTAGATGTTCTAAATTAAGTTTAGAAAGCAATTAATATAATCCCACATATAGAATTCTATGTAGTGCGTTGCATTCCTCGGCAACATTCAATTTAAACTTTGTCATGTGTATAACAGATAGTTTCTACAACAATAATTTTATCTGGAAAACATACCACACCAATTTCGTATATATTATTCAGCACTTGAAGTAATCTCAGATTAATCATACAATAAATCACATTTGCAACCAGCTCCAGTATCACTCATCAGCATCAACACACATCATTTTCGAAAAATTCAGTCTATCACATTATGAAGTTAATCAGAAATAAATTTAGATTGGATTACCGCGTTCTAATTCAGATGTTTACGATATGCTATCATAATTATTTTCGCTGGTATGCCATACAGGATCACCTTCCGATGATCCAGTTGGGGTGTCTGCCCTTGTAAAAGCATTCGTAAAGGATTCTTTTAAGCGTTCCGTGAACGTTTTGTATTCCATGTCGTAGTGTTGCCCGAAGTTGAAATCTGCCACTTCGACAAAGAATCTGCCCAGAAAAATAACATTACATTAAGTAACATTAAATATGTATAAATAGTTTCTAGAAATTTACCTAGGCCTATTTTGAACGTAGAAGGCTAATCCAAAAATTATCAAAACGATTGCAGCCAAACTAAAACCAACTGGCACCACGATGACCGATAGTTGGGCTTGTTTATTAACTGAAGTAAAAGAGTAGATAACTCATTTTGAAGCAACATTCGAACAAAAATAGGTGAGTAAATATTACCTTTATAAACAGTAATTGCAACTGGAAATACACCAGTACTAACATCGTTATTAATAATAATAACGGCAGTTCTCTTTTCGTCATCATAAAAATATCGATGAATAGTAAAGCTGCAATTTTGTGCTTCGTAGGTCGTACCCTCAGGACAAGTTTCATTCCCGGTGGCATTATAAGTACCATATTTAAAATAGAAACAATAAGTGAACGAACTAGAACCCTTACAATTTACATCAAGATTTAAAACTTCGGAACGTTGAATCCAATTGTTTCCCGACACAGAAATATTTCGAACTGGATCTAAAAAATGCTCAATATAAGCAAACATATGAGATCAATATATTAATAACAAGCGATACCAACCACGGACTGTAAACTTTCGATTGAAATAGCCATATGGAATGTCAGACAGTATTGGTACAATTGTATGATTGTTGCAAATGAAAGGGAACGAATTATTGTATTTCACAGTTCTATTTGTGAATGTTGACAGATTCTTATAGATGATATCTTTCATACTGACTGGATCAAAATTAGTAATCAATTCAGTCGCGGATCGTTTCAGCTTTATTCCCCGTGGGTTCAAAGTGGTCGTTGATATTGCAGGAGGCTTAGATGTGGTGGTAGTAGTAGTAGTAGTAGTAGTAGTTGTTGTAGTAGTTGTTGGTGCTTCCGTTGGAAACGGATCAAAATTTGGAATTATGAATGCTTCAACCACATGTGAATCATCCACATTGGCGTAGTTCATTAAAAACTCCATGTTTTGTGTAATGCCGTAGTAAACGCAATCCACAAACCAATACGATAAGATTTGAGTTGCAGTGGTATTCAAATACTCCATATCTGAAGAAGACAACTGCACCTTGTGCAGAACAGTGGTAGTGTTGGAGACATATTGTGATCGAACTGTATTATTTTGTATAAGATTTAAACTTCCCCCCAGTGTACCTAAAATATCATATTTTAAAAAACTGTATAACAATTCAATAACATTGTTATGAAAATAAAATATGTGAATGATAAAATGTTCAATATTTTATGAAATAATGATTTAAATGAATTATGACTTACTTGTTAGCTCAAAATTAATCCTAAGTGATGTTATCTCCACAGGTACAAAAAACCAGTAATTTTTAACAATCACTTGCATTACATAAACTCCTGGAGGACAATCCGCCCTTGGATAGCTTACAGTCCATGAGTCACGGTAGCCTGTTGTCTGTTTCTAAAATTCACAATATTTGTTAGTTCTAAATATTATATAGTTGCATGAGTCATTTCTGGACAGCCATGATAAATAATGTTTAACAGATATGAAAACAAATCCATGGCAAGACAGGACTACATAGATAAAATCATAAATTAAAATTAAAAGATGCAAAGTAATAAATATTTACAGTGCCGAGTATCAAACTAGTCAAGACAATATAACAGGGATGTTATCAAATATGACAAATAAAATTTAATGTACTTCTCTATGGTGTCTTAACAGAGAGTTATCTTGCCATTCAAACAGGAATTTTCCATCTGCCTTTTTATCACCATCAAACAGCTCAGCAACAAAATGAATTTTGCCACCAGCTACAGTTGGACCGGAATTCTTGATTTCCAATCGAAAATCCGCAACAACTGAAATATATCGTTATTGTTATCTTGCCCAGGAGATCATTGGTGATGAATGCTTGCCATACCATATTGAATACATGTTAAACACACGGTGACCACGTAAATTATCCTCATTTTAGTAAATATCTAAGGACGCACAACACATTTAATCGAAAGAATATAATATAGAATAAAATTTCTTTAGTTTGACAAAGACTGAAATCAGCTGCGACTCGCATAAAACGTCAGTTGTACATGGTTGCAGCTTGTTAGACTTCCATCAGAATGCTTCGGAAATCAGCTGTGCGGAGCGTACTTTAACATATGCAACCAAATATACACCTCACTAGAGCAATTCTACTTTCCTTTCAAATATATATTATTCAATTTCACTATTATTATATAAATCATAGCTTATTAATAATATTAATACTCATATTCTTAACAAAGATAAAAAATAACATTTTAATAATAGTATATATTTCGAAATAGCTGGCTTAAATAATTCGAACAATGTAATATTTGAATGAGGATATTATTAAAATTTAACAGCGAAGGAAAAATATCAACATACCTTTTAAAACAAGCGCAACGTACACAAAATGCAATATAGACAAACACAAAATAAATTAGAGGACATAATTAATTGCCTAGTTTGAATTAATTCTGCCACGAGGAATCAAACCCAGCTGCCGAATCCGAATCAGAATCCTGCATGGGGTGTCTCTGAATAAATTTCGGGGGCTGATTGGGTGTTTCAGGATTGCTATGAGTGCGCACTGCATCCGCAGGTCGCCTGGGTTTCAGTTTCGTGATGTAGCCTTTGGGGGCCGGCATTACGCTTTCCTGTCGAAGCATACAAGCCCACACAAATAACACACCACCATCGCAAACACAAAACACAAAATGTAATTGCCAAGCAAATAAAAGAGAAATGCAACACAATACCTGCGCCACATTATCGGCGGAACCCCATCCTTTGTGTACTTTCTCCGAGATTGGCTCAATCGTGCTCAGTGAACCGCCTCCGCCGCCGACACCTAGAAAGGAACTAAAAGCTTCGGTGGTTTTCTTCACGCGCACATTGAGGGAACCCACACGCAAAAATTTATCTAAAATGTAAAGCAATTAGAAGATTTATGTAGATAATAGCAGATGAAACAAATGTACCTCCGTATTTATTCTTGCGAGATTTGGTTTCTGGAACACACACAAACAAAAGCCGACATTAACAAACAAATTTAAAAAACAAGAAACCAAATATTTAAAGGCAAGTAATGATTCAACAATACGTTATGATAATATAAAAAACAACATGCAAACAGAAACCCAAAAACAAATTGTAAATTGTTAAAAGCAAACAAGACATGCAACATGCAAAAATTCATTGCTATATTAAAACGTCGTTAGGTAATTATTAACGTCTCTAGGAGTGCATCAGCATAAAAAGACGGTAAAAACTTTAATTGTGTTTTAATTCCATGATAAATCAAGTGTATGCAATTTTTAATGCAGTGCGATGCGATTAAACATGCAAATAAATGCAAACGCACGCTCGACTATGACACGATAACGTCAAAATACTATAACAAGCATAGAATGCATAAATATATCTAAATATGGTCAACGCAATAAAAAAGTTCAAACTAACGATAAAAACTAGCATAATGTAGATTATATCTACGTTAATCATGTTGAGTCAAAAAGTGATTAGCGTTGTGTTAGCTTGACGCGGTTGAGATTTTTGCGCATAAACGTGCCATGCTTGTGAATTCTCGGCTTCGGCTTGATTTTGGGCTTCTTGCTTTCATACTCACTTGCGGTAATTTTATTCCGCACTTGATTATTGGCTTCTCTCAATTGAACTGCCCTCTTGCCGCGGTAATCACGAATACTATCATCTGCTTCTGTAAAGTATATTCCAATTTAATTTGAGGTAAAAATAATGAAATGCGTATAAAACTTACTGTAAACTTCAATGAGAAGTTTGTAGACGTCCGTGCGGCCAAAATGCGCCGCCAAATGCAACGGCGTATAGCCCTAAAAATTGAATACATTTTTAATTACTACGTTGACCAATGTTGTGCTCGCATGTCGAAGCGTAATTTTCGGATCGTGAATTAGCCCGAACGAGCGCGCGCATTACGCTTTCTATAGTTTATTTTTCACGGCATTAAAAAGGCACCGTGTGCGCGCACAGAGCACACGATCCGTATCTGGAAAGAAACAAGCGAAATTGTGTTTTACAAATATGGGAACACAAATTCTGTCTCCGTGCAATGTCGTCCTCGTCGTGCTCGCACGTTGTTGCGCGTACACCAAGGGACATTAATAAGCTGTGCGACGACGACGACGATAAGATGCTTCGTAAGTACAAATGTAAACGTCATAAACCAGAAGTTTATCAGCGCCCTGCGTGAATAAATCTGAGATCTTGTATCGTTTCGACACCAGGAATGTCCGGTTTGTAACCCAATCCTTTGTATTCCCTTGCCACCGAATATTTTGAACGATTGCCTGGTGTGATAGTATTAGAAAGTAATTTGGAATAATTGAGACTTACCCCGTTCGTCTTGGCGTTGACATCGGCACTATATGTTCCGGCGAAGAGTTTTATGATGTCTGCGTTGCCGTGCTTTGCGCCCCAATGTAAAACGGTCTGAAAATTACCACAAGATACAGTTATCAACACCTTCTTCTCATAATGCGGCTGAGATGAACGCGCGTCGAAAATAAACAAAAGGTGACAATGTGGACGGGAAACATGACTCTTTACCAAGATTTGTAACCCACACTCGAAAAGATAAAAGCCATCAACAAGCCAGCCATCGACAAGCAAAGGCGACACATGTATAAATTTAGTTTCGGTTGTAAAATGAATTAAGGGACGAAATACAACTTCCTGTGTGAACTCTCTACTCGGAATAGTGTGTTGACTGGTAACATTTTGCGAAACTGAATGCATTTAACAAGTCTAATGTGAAAATGTTTGAAATATGTTAAGCGTTAATGTGTTTCGACAATTGGGATGACAAGGCGGTTGGCGGCCGGGCCAGCCGGTTGGTCGCATTCATAAATTATCCATGGCTAAATGACGACAAAGTGCAAAAAAGGCTGGCGTGCATTTAACGGCTGAAAACGTACGCCGTCGCACGTCCCGGAGTTCCTGAACGAATTGATAAAGCAGAGGCAGTGACGGGCAACCCGCTCACATTTTCGCACACACATATTTACTTGCATATGTAGCCATTCGCGCAAACATTGGGTTTTAATTATCTCGAAAAGCGTTCGAGAGCTAAGTGACAATTTGATTTCGCATCCGCACTACGCCACGCATCGCATCCTCGTTTGCATGCATTACAATTGCAAAACAGATTTTGGCAAATGTGCAGAGCGCGTCGCGCATTCCTCGCGGCCAACCGTCGAGCAACGCCTGAAATACATCACTATAAATTATTGTAGCACGTTCTACAATTTAGCTCAAAATAAGGGGGATGCGATGCCGGAGTCACGCATAGAAAGCACCAAGCAGCGGTGTGTTCGTATGATACCTTGATAGTGGTAGTGCTAATACGGGACACTCAAAGTTAATAGTAATGTTTCTTTTTAGTACTTACATACTGTCGGAATCCATTGTATTTGTTGTAAAACACGCATTCATGAAACAAGAAGAAAGATTACATATTAATATATTTAAATAATATACAATTATATAAGAATAACGATCGACTTTATAAGATACCAGGCAGGAAGTTGAAAAATGTGTAAACGGTATGAAGTATTTACAGGGCAGCACAGAAATGATATTTACTGCGATTGCTCACTATGCACTGGATGTTTCTTGGGTACTTTGCACGTGGATATATTTTAATTGAAAACTAACGTTATTATTTTCTGCAGAAAAAAACAATTTCGGGCACAAAGCCAATATGCGTCAAATAAATCTCATCATTGCAAATATCATTAATAAAATAATAGCAATTTGATTAGCTCGCCTCTTCTCGAAATGTGTATGTTGAAAATATTGAAATTATGAAGTATGTAAATAAAACATAAAACTTGCTGTATTTTCTTGAGCAAATAAATTACATTCATTAAAAACAAACTGTACATCAATTATAAAAAAAACGCTATCGCTTTTCTTTGTCAGTTCTTCCATTCTTCTGATCTATCTCGCACATTTTTCACGTTTCAGTGGGAACAATTTGTTACAAACTAATATTAAAGAGCGATGCTTGGCGAGCTAAATACCTACCTGATGCATATATGCAAAGTGCATCAGATTCGGGTAATAATTACAATAACATTTGCATAAATGCTAATAAACAAACGCTTGGCACGCAGATTTAATTTCAATTTTAATGCATCGTCGGTAAAATATTCACAACAACAAGACATAACAAATATAAAATGATGTTTAACCATCACCCAAAATGATATTAGGCTATATTGACTGATGAAATTAGTCGTCATCTAATCTATCCACGTAAACTGCGGCTAAAATTGATAGTTTCAAAGTGATAGGGACATGAAGGCTTACCAAGGCGAATAAATCAAACGAACACCCAAACCGATGGGGACGCGTCCGGTATCGATTTCGACCGTCAGATAAAAGCGTTTTTAATGCACTTTCAATACTTTCAGACGCGTGTGCGTTTAAGGTGTAAGATGGGCAGGTGTAACGTCGGCAAGCGGTGCAGGGGTACAGGTGAGTGGTACGAGGTGACGGTGACAGGAATGAATATGGTGCAAACGCGTGGACCCAAAGTACGAAGCAAAAAAAAAATACGCTGGAAAAGAAGCTAATTGAACGAAATGAATAATTGCCTAAAGCAGTGTGCAGCTGATTTTGTTAATATGTGGTAATCATCATTATGTAAATGGACATGAGTGGGGCGCTGAATTCCCGTAACCCATATTTAATATGAGTTTTTAATTTTCTATCAGCGATTCCTCTTGCTACTACATAGTAATATTCAACGCACCTCGGAGTAGTTTTGAATATCCATTAATAATGCATTTACTATATATTTCCGAAGCTCTTCAGGAATTCGGTTGTTTTGTCACATTTTATTTTGAAGTATTGAGTAATATATTAAATTTCTCGTGACGTACCCAGATAGCACTCTTTTGAGTAATGATATGGGAATCTGGGATTATGAGTGTGGCAGACGGAATAACTATTGAAACACGACGCGAAATAGTATCCAGCAACTTTTCTTTCGTGGAGTCGTAGCGATGTGCCCGCAAGAGTGGTGCATGTGCCCAGTAGGAAATCCGCTTGGGGTCCCGGGTAGTGAGTCGGTAATGCGCGCGGAGTACGCTGTTGTTTTAGGGCGCCCCACGACGCGGTCGAACAGCGCGCCCTCCCGCCAAGCCCCCTCGCGTTCAAACGACAACGTGTTATCAGATCTCTGCATGATGACAATTTCGATTTTAGTCGCTTCAAGTGGTCAAGACGATCGATTTATTCATATTGTTTCGATACTAAATCGTTTTCCAAAATCATTCAGTTGCCATGTTACCCAAAGGACAAAACAAAAAAATAACAGACAAATAATTCCAATTTTTACTATGAATAACCTATTTGCTAGATTACCATTTTCAAAAAGTTAATAGCGTCTACAACCGTATAAAAATGAATTATTGCCCACCTCCAGATTCTTTTCTAAAGCTACTCCATTCTGGTGACTGTTTTTTTTAGTATGGCTTTATTTTTTATTGGGTTGAATGTGTGTTGAAGGCATGGTGCTTTATCGTCAACTAGATTAAAATAAATTTCGGTAATGCGTGTGTGAAATGCATGTACCGTCCATGTAATACTATAATAATTTCATTATGTCGCTGCGCGTTCTTCTTGGCATTCTTTGAGACTTTTCCCGGAAATGCAAGTTCAAAAAAAAGTACCCAAACATAAAGCAAACATTTTCCTACGTAGGGTACATAAATAACTCCATTAATAAACAATAAAGAAGGCTCTTTTGTTTCGGCGCTAATTAGCAGAGTACCCTGAATGTAATAAACGTGAGCGTAAAAGTAAAGTCAAACACATTCCGAGTAAACAAATAAAATATTTAGTACTTACGGCCTGATGTGACAAGGCGATTAAATGATGTAACGTGAGGAATAGACATAATCAATCCAAGATATCCAAGATGGTCCCGATATTCGTGATGCAGAGCATGGCGATGACATGGAACGAAAAATAAAAAATATTTATAGGCATGTAATGATCTCGGTTTTACAGGCATCATTAATCAATAAATAATTTTTAGTGCTCAAATTAATAGCAAAATGTAACCATAAAAATATGATCATTAACACACATCCATATATCTGGACAAAAACACAAACAAAATGTGAGGAGCAATTAATCTTAACAAACATTTAGGGTGGATGACAAGCACATAATAACAAAAAATAGTAATTTAAATATACTTTAATTAGTGGAATTAATGCTGGCGGATAAAGTAGGTCTGAAAAATGTTGACATATTAAACTGCCCAACACATTAGAGTTGTACATTTGGTGAAACAGTATTTCATTAAACAGAATAACAAGCATACCTTAAACCATAATTTTGGACATTAATTAATAAGGACTGGGAAATGCAGTTTGGAAGTTGCCAGTTTGCACAATGTGGATCTAATTCTGTTTCAAACCTTGTACCGGTTTAGAAGTACTACGGCGTATCTGTAGTTTTTTCCAATGCCAACGTAAATTCACAATAGGATAAAAACGTGAAGCAAAAAGGCTGGAAAACTGACGGGTTCTGCAGTTCCTGTCCGCGGCGCACAAAGATTGGAACATCGCGTGACCGCGTTGTCGTCGCTTCTGACACACGAACACGGACGGCCATTCATGGTGGATGATCCTCGTCGCGTTGTCACAAAAGGACAGATAATCGCTGCTGTTTTTCGAATGTCGCACGAATCGTGCGCGCCATCGCTCATAATTCCGCTCGCATACACACAGCGGCATTATGCCGCTAGGTTTCCTTCCTTTTTATTATTTTTGATTTTAATAGAGTAATTACTGGGGACGCGTCATTATATATGCATAATGCAAACCAACGCGCTGGTATACGTGACATACGTGTATGCAAAAATAATTTGTAATTGCTCCTTCGACTATGTACCCACTGTTATACGAGTATACCTAGATTGTCGGATGAGATTAGATTATCTTATATTTTTTTAAATATTCAAAATAGAAAAAATATATTCATGCAGTCGAAAAATATTAATTTTATAATCAATCTAGGTATTTATAAAGTTTAAATGTTTCCAAATAATTTCTTAGCTCAATAGAAAACAAACCTTGCATTTTAACTGTACAGACGCCCGCCATTTTGTACAATTCTCCAAACAATAAGAAAGCACTAACCATATCGAAAGCACTTGGGCGATTAGCAAATCAAATGTCGGCAATTAACGCGTCAAAAGATACAATATCTACCATCATTCTTTCACAGCTCGGAAGCAACTTGCGTGCGTGTAAAAACCGTTTGCGTTTCTTTCTCTACGTCTCCATTTTTATACCACAGGCCCGCAAAACACACAAAAATCATCAATTGTCGCTGTTTGCCGTGCCAACAGTTGGGAACAATGACGCAAGTTATAATTTATTAATGAAATGAGTTTTTAATTAGAGCTCCCTGCCTCCTTGCCTCTACTTAGGGTAATTAATACCTCAACGGAGAAAAAACGGCCACTGCTTACTATTTCACTTGATTGTCAGAGCCCGAAATGTGGTGGAAATGCGTGACGTGCAGCGATGTAGAAACAAACATCCACTCACAATTTTTATTGTATAATCTCGAAAATACACGAATTTACGAATCGTGCGTACACGAGTAGAATTCATCTTCTGATGTTTGATAGCTCGTTGAATGTTAATGGTGAATAAACGACCGATAAATTTGACCGTAATTTATGACGTACTCATTTCGAAACTATTTAGTTGCGTACTTTTTGGTACAGTTCGTATGGTAGACTAACTAACAGAAAAAGGAAGGGCAAATGACATCTTTGTGTGTTGATGTTGATATTTCTATGCAACTTCTAGAGCGATTTCCCTAATCGATGTTTCTATTACAAGAGCTCGGTGTAAGACGTAGCCAAGAGAGGCTAAACGAAAATTCGTGTGACTTGTGAATTTGATTAGTTGCTCCGAACGTACCCTAATTTACTTCTGTCATTTGTTACTTCACCAGAAACCGTAGTCGCGCACACTTCGTTGCCGCATGCCCGTTTTGTCTTTGCTATTTTTAACAAGACAAAGTGGGCTGTACTTACGAAGAAAATGATTGATGTGCCACTATCGAGTGGGACATATTCTTACCGTGTACGGATCCTGCAACAAACAAAAAGAACAATTTAGGTTAACACTATATTAAACTAGCAGATGTGTTAATAAAAAAAACTAAACTATTTCAAATAATATTTATGTTGCCAAATAGTTATAAAAAAGTAGTTTTCTTCATAAATGTCCTAAGAATTTAATAGCAATTGATAAAATGGCCTCACCAAAGTTGATCTAGTAAAATAATGCGTTGAAATATTAAGTAGCTCAATTGAGTGTGACCAAAAAGTAATCCCCAGAAAATCACTAAATTCTAAATTGCAATCAATGTTCGAAATTGCATAGGAAGCATCGTCGATCCGTAATGATGCACCCGAACGTGCTCGACAGAGGCGAGCCGTGATATGATGAAGTGTCCGTAAACGTTTGCGTTTATACCCTAATTGCACTATAAACAGTGCGTGTCCATGACCGTTTATTATCGGTTCATTGATTACCAATAATCGGTTTCGATTCGCATTGATTACAAGGCAGAGCGGCGGAAGCTGTGGTCGCGTACGCCCGATGCCAAACTCGGACGCACACGCGAATCAAAATTAAACCAGCCGCAGAAGCGCAGGACGACCCCGCTCAGCACAATGGATCATACCGCTTGGAAACCTCGATTCGCACGGTTTATCAGCGATTTTATGGTCGCACGTCCAGCAAAACCAACGGTAACTCACACCGTTCTAACCAATGTCGGACTAGATGCGATCATCAGCGCCCGCAAATCGAACAAAACGAGAGCCATGATAGCCAGATCGGCGCATCGAACGAATTAATTTAACCGATGTAATATATTGAGACCTACAATTTCAGACGATATTTTATGTTTACGCAAACCTTCATTACCTCCAAGCACAATACGTTTCCAATAGAAAATTAGAGCAAGCAATTTTCGTAGCCAGGCGCTACCAACTTTCAAGTGTAATTACAAGAATTCCAATCAGATATAGGTACCTACTCGTAATGTGTTTAGAATCGAAATAATTTATAACATTCATTAAAACTTTGATCAAAGTAAAAATTAAAAGAGCATTAAAATTGTAATTATTAAATTTATGGACAACTCATCAACCTGTATCTGCATGATCGAACGAACCGCCTGAATAAATTATCTTAATATCCAAAATATATATCTATAGGGTAGGTTTTTGAAAATTTCTTATCAATTTTACTATCCTAAAATATTTCCTCACTGCTAATTAAATTCCATAAATTCGGATTCATGCAGTCAGGCCGATCTTCCACTTTTAAGGTAAGTTGGTATGTTTTGATTTCATATCTTGTTGCGATGACAACACACACGCGGTCTGCTGAAGCTTTCGCAGCTTAACGCAGCTGCCACACCGCAGGATTATTTTAGTGCGTCCGCTTTGTCACTGACACTTCTTTAAGATAGCGAGCGCGGAAATCGCGTCTTCCCCATTTCGATAGACGGATTTATTTCGAGTCGAAAATAAGGTGTCGACTTGTTACTTACACATGTGTGTTTATGTCCACAAGCACGACAGACAGACTCAACCAGCGTTTAACACAAGCCAGATTGATTTACCTACACATCGGCTTGATGGCCTCGCCGATTTACGATTCAAGTTTTACAAATATGACTTATTCGAAACTGATGCTCTTCGCTTATTCGTCGCAAGCTAATTATAAACAAGAAGTTGCATGAAACAACGAACAGAAAATAGATCCAATCATATGCAAAAATGAATTAATGCAGAAATAAAGCTAATATATCATGAAAAAACTCTAAGTATAACAAAATACAAGAGACAAGCGGAAGTCTTGTGTTGGTACACATGATACATGTGTTCATAGAAAATGATTTAGGTGAGTACTCCACTGCTGATTATAAGGAAAATTTCAATGACAAAAGGAAGTTTCGCAAAAGAAATAAATCTTTCAAATAAATAGAAACAACAATTTTTTTTTGTATGTAAAAATTCAGATAAATCAGATTCTCAACCTTGCGTATATAGCAAAATTGTGAAACTTGAGATGATAAGATGTTAATTTCTTCCAGTTTCTGAGTTAGTTCCAAATTTGAGACATAATTTGAGCATCGATCACAGTCGAGAGTCATAAGATATTGAGACAAGGGTAATACGACCTCAGGTTGCATAGTGTGACACATGTCTTGACGGTGGCGCCATATAATTTACGAGCGTCGCCCACGAAAACCCAATACCAGAGTCAAGGATGTATCTTATAGAGCATAAACCTAGGCTGGCTCTTCATATAGTTGGTAACTTATGTGTTTCTTTTCATTTGACTAGGCTTGAAAGAAGATGACAACTAAAAAGGGCACAAAAACACTAAATACCATAGGCGCAAAGCCAAATACACCCCCCGAGAATTAGGAGGTCATGCTAACTTAAGAATTTTTAGCCTAGCTTCCTCGACTTCATGTAAACTAGGCGCTGAGACACAAGCATAGTATCGGTTTCAAGCCAACGCCTGAAAGTTGAGTTTGTATGTGTTAATCATTTGCTCGGAAGTGATATTGATGGGAAGCGAGCCCGCCATTCATCATTCCGGCATCGGTCTAATTTGCCTCAGCCAAACCGATAGGCGACAGACTCACAACTACCGTGTCGTCCAATATACACACAATATTTGTAATTATAATATGCAGAAGTTCCACGAAGATTTAATGAATAATAAATTAGAACGATTGATAAAGCTCCTATGCTTAATAATTTGTTAAGATCTTTAAAAATGCTGTAATTTGAATACTGCTGCCTTATAAATCAATAAACTAGCATCCCAATTGGACATTCCATTTGAATAAATATTGAACATTAGACGACATGCTACAGGAATAAAAACCATGAATGAAACAATGAATGAGATGCAGAAAAAAAAAACAACAACGTGCATTGCAATACATCGAATGACGATAGCACTTTTTCGCAGCGAACTAAAACAAATATCCCCGACAGAGATCGTGTTTTGTTTCTGACGCTTCTATCGACAGCTCGCGCCATGAACAACAAAACCGAATGTGCTTCGCGCGGCGGGATGGGATGTACATGTTGGACGTGTCAAAGGTTTGATAGACTTTATGTGCGCATGATGTCAGATATAAATGAAGCAAGTCGTGGCGCACCGGGCCAGTATAGATTTTCGACCGGTCCGTTACTTCGGACCAAGATCGACCTTACAACGATGACGACCAAGGGAATGCAGTCAAGGGAGTGCCATGGCGCCAGACCCAGACGGGACCCAATTAGCTTCGCACACCTCACCCTGATTTACGGCACCCCCGCACAGCCACTTCCTGTGTGCCTGCCCCGCACACGGTATCTCTTTCTTTCCCCAAATTTCAACGTCTGCCCTTCTCGTTGACCAAAACATATCATGTTCGCCCACGCCCAGTTTCTAATGTTTAAAACACCTATATCCTTCATTGTCACAATCGTCAAAAATAGAATAGTATTTAGAGGATGGTGCGTAGCCAAATTCAATTCTCTCATTAACCGGTTTTTATTAGGACCTATGCTCTATAATGATTGATTTCAACCGGTTCCCTCAAGAAAGTCCCAAATATCCAAATTGATCGTAGATTTCATTGACTTCATTGCAGGAGGGAACCAATAGATAAACGAATACTACAACTACACGAACAACCATTCATGCTTTCTCAGATTGACTTTACATACTCGTAAAATTCACTGTGCATCAACCAAATCCAGCGGAGACATTACTAGATATAGATAACTTCAAGATAAAATGAACGACTGTCAACAAAACAAGCACATGAAGCATAATTAAATTAAAAGTCATGACAAATAAAAGAAAATGATTTGAAAGTGATATTAACTTTACAGATTCTACACCTTTCATTCAACCCTAAATATATGTATTCTGTACATACTAATAAATTTATATGTCATTTAACTCACAAATATTTACACGTCAATTTAATATTTACGTCTTCCTTTTTATCTAAATTACAAACCTAATCTGTATCTAAAGTCCGAAAAAATACATATTCCATTGCAGAGCAAATTGACACCTGTCAATTATTATATTGTACCGTATTTTCTGCACTATCCCTAGCGAAGAGATTCGAAATTGGCGCACCTGTCGCCGCTCACATTAAAATTGCAAATCATCAAAATTGTGCAACATATTTAGCCAGTAAAGTAGTGTTGACGATTTTCTTGTCGTGAGCGATTATTTCAATCGTGCTAAAATAACAGTTAAACCTAAATAAACCCATTGCAAACATGAAAAATCAGTTTCTTATGTAAACAGCATAGTAGCACATGTTGATGTAAAACTTTAAGTACTAATCTACAAACTCGCAATGCACGACTTACTTGCTGCTAGCTCGGAAAGAAGCAAGCAAAAAGTGTTGGCGAACGGATCTATTACCGGAGTGGTGGTGAGCAAAGCTCTGAGAGCGGTGAGTAGTGAAAACTTATGACATGTTTGGAGGCAATTTATCATTTCTTGTAAGCGCCGAGCATGTGTACAGCCACTCACACTAAGGCGTATACAAATGCGTTTTAATTTTTGTGAAAAATTACATGTGTATTGAATTACATCAAGCAGGGCGACGAAGCATACCAACCCTACGCATAAAAATTCATCTGCCTTTAATTACGTGCAAAAGAAAAAGTGACACTTATATCAAGGAATCTAAAGCGAAACACGTTTTTTTATTAATGAGTAAATTAACATTTTCAAATATAAACGTTTCTTTCGATAAAACGAAGGAATAAAGATTCTCCATAAACCATTCGATAGAAATTCATCTATTCGAAATATCTTACATATATTTTGACACATTAGATGTACCTATTCCATTCCTTGGGTTCATAGTTCACACTACAAGCAATTAAAAACAACTCAAAAGTTTATTTACGAGCTAGGCTTGTCAAGACTTTTTAAGCCCAAACCAAACAAAGAAAAAACTTCACTCGCAGAGAAGTGAGAAGAAACAAGAAGAGATGGCAATAAAAAGACACCACACATGTGGCTAATTAGGCGTATGA